ATATATCTACTCATATGAAAATGTTATTTTTTATTTTTCACTTTGAAAAAGTCCATCTGAGGTAGTTCACTAGCCTGTCTTATGAGTGATAATCCCCTTTGTCAAATTAAGCAGATATTCCTGACACAGTTTTCAAGAGCCCATAAATTGTTGAAGAACTTGCAAGCACAATTAAGGATGTGACACAAGCCATGCAAGTTCTTAAGGAACTTTATCACCTACTTTCCAACACAAGATGTTAGATGTTAAGGATCCCAAGTCAGCATTAACTCGCATCCATGGCTCAGGGCCTCCAAAAAGATTTTTTTTATATATGTTATTGGTCTTTGATAGTTGAAAATTCTAGATGAGTTATTGGAGCACACCAATACCCATGACATTATAAAGAGATACAACTACATTGCTAATACTTCCATTGATAAACAAAGGCAATGAAACATGAGAATATTTTCCTATCCACTAGGGAGAAAAGAAGATTTACCATCACATGGTGAGAGCCAATGAGGCACTTTTTGAAGTGAAGGGGAGTTCGCCAATTTGAGAGATGGAATTATCTGAGAAATATCATTGTGATAAGCTCATATGAGCAAATTTTCCACCTACTGCTTACAACTCCATTGCTAAGAACGAGACATAAAAGAATATGATTGAGGTTCATATTAGATTATATGGTGCCCATCAATCTAGGTTTAAGATAATGAAATTTTAAATTTCGGACTATCATTAACTGTGAATGATTAGTGATTAGACGACTGTTGAATGTTGCAACCATTAATCCCAAGTTCATGGTGTAGTTATACGTTAGTCAATTAAAAATATTACATCCACTTATAGCTTTGTACATTTTAAGACTTTGGGTATGAACATCGATGGTCCTATTGACCCTCCCTCTTCTAAAATTCTTAAATTTGTATTAGTGGTGATTGCTAACTTATCCAAGTCAATTGAATCAATCCCACTGTGAGAAGTCAAAGCTCATTACATGCTCCAATTTTTCAAGGATCATATCATGTATCAATTTCAACTTCCTCAATGGATCATATTTGACTATAGTAACACATTTAAGAATAATAAGACCAATAATTTTATTAGATGACATAATATCAAGTGGAAATACTCGCACAGGTATTACGCTTGTGCTAATAAGTTGTTTAGGGTCTTGAACAAGAATTAAATTCAAATTAAAAAAAAAAACATTGATTATAATAAAATGTCAGTATCATAAGAAGTTAGTCAAAGCATTGTGTGCCTATCAAAATACGTATACGATAATAAATCGGTCCACTCTATTTGCATTAATTTATAGGTTTGATGTTATTCTCTGTTTAGAAGTAATTCTTCCCTTACCAAATTATATTATTTTAACAAAATTATGTATGAATAAATGCTCAACTTTGATTAGAAGAACTCAAACAACTTGAAGGGGAACCGTTGCATGCCCAAGTAAATCTCAATTTACCTAATTCATGGATGGAGCAAGCTCATAACATGATAGTCCATTTTAAGACTTTACGAGTAGGAAATCTGATATTGGCACTCGATGACCCATATTAGTTCATAGTTGAATGGGAGACAAGTTAAAACCAATATGGGAGCAACCATTTATGGTGAAGGCTAAGATGTGAGTCCTACTAATTAAGATCCCAAATAAGTACATCTTATTCTTCCAATTAACATATGATTTTTAAAAATATATTGTTTATGATGTATTCCAAAAGTAATTTTTTTTAATAAAGTTTATTTTCCTGATTTGTGTGTAAATTTTTTTCTTATAATTAGGTTCTATTTTTTAAAAAATGGGCTTTCTCACAACAAAATGTTCCTCTAACATACTTCTCTAAAGTGAACCAGTGCAAGGTTATCCAATCCCTAGAATATCTAGATATATTATGGCAATCTGTAAGGTGGGGAAGTTAAATCAAATTTAAAATTAAAATATAATAAAACTTCTTCATAATTACCATCTATAATCAAAATTTTCTCATTCTTCAGTTAGGATCTTTCCTATAAATTTACATTATATGGGTTAAGTTCGGGTTTCAATTAGTACAAGATTGAGCCTCTTTAGTCCCCTTTCTAGTCTTACCCAAGATTAGTGAACTCGGGTTAGAATAAAGCCTATTAGGCTCCTTTCCTAGTTTCTTATTCTACAGTGTTGTAGATGATTCAGTAGACTTTCACCTTGGCTTGCTAGTCTAGGTTAGAAGCAAGTCCCCCAATAGCTTCCTTCCCTAGTGTGATTAATGACCTTACTTACACCTGTAGATCTACCCCGGCTTAAAAATTTTGTTTAGAATTAAACCCTTCATGCCTCTATCCTAGTTTAGTCGGTTGGAATCTAACCTAAAATAATTAGCCACCCTCGAGCTTTATCTCAAGTTTGTTAGTGTTAATGTGTTGCGGCTGATTCAATGGACTAATACCTTGGCTTGTTAGTTTAGGTTAGGACCTAGTAGCCCAATAGCCTCCATCCTTATCTTAATCATTAAAAAACCTAAATCAAATCTTTAGTAGTTATTCTATTCTACTATATACATATTTTAGAACCTCCTCATCCTTGTTGGTTCTACTAAGCCATAGTTTATTTAATAGATCAATACATTAACTTGTTAATCTAAGTTAGGACTAAGTCCCACAACGACCTCTTTTCCAAGATTATTCATTATATTTATAAATTTAAAAATTAGATATTATCTAACTTTAGTTTGACAGCCATAAACCTACTCTGACTATTACACTTAGGTTAGAACTAAGTCCCCATAATTCTCTCTTTTATTGTAATAGTCACATAAGATCTTGTTTGACCATATTTAAGCATTCATAAATTTATTTTCATGAGGTCCGCTTATCCCACTGTGTCATAGTTGACTTAGTAAGGCTTGCACCTTGACTAGTAAGTCTATGTTTAGAGCAAGTCTTTGTGGTTGCATCCCTAGTTTAGTCATTAATGTTCAATATGAAAAGAAACTTTAGTTCTAGTCTAACACTATTTAAATACCTATATACCTACTTTGATTGAGCATTTATATTAAGATTAAACTTCTTATACCCCATTTAAAGTTTGAATTAGTGAAAATCCTATGAAGCCCTATTGAACTATTAAATCTCATGGGATAAAGTTCTTTAGAACCATAAGGTTTAGGCCCTGTTTGGGGGCAGCGACAGGGCGGCAACACGGCGGGGTGCCACTCATTTTGCTCTTTTGGGGCATCGTGAGGGTCGCGACGGTCGCGACAATGTGGTGCAGTTTGGGTAAAACGTAGGTCGCGGGTTTGATCCTGCGACCCACTTTTCTCCTTCACGTTTTCACTCTCAACGCCCTTCGTTTGCCCTAACTCCTTTGCTTTTTACTCCCGGATTTATTAAATCCCATTGGAAGACGGCTTTACGAGATTAAGAAGAGCTGAAGCAAGCGAAAGGGGCTGGAAGGAAGCAAAGAAATATGATGGCTACCTTCCTCAAAGGTTTTGAGCGATGCTGGAGGAGGAGGAAGAAGTGAGGTCTTTATACACCACAATCCCATCGTTGCCTTCACATCTAGGTCTATTTGTGAATGTATGGTTAGTGTATTTGCCTTGAGTGGAGCAGATGGGGAATATAAATTTAAATTGGTTTTATTTAGACTAATTTTTTTTATTTTAATAATTATGTTATTAAGCTGTATATAATCAGATTGTCAACTAACACGCTTAAATTCATATTGACAATTTCAAATTTTTTAGTCAATATATTTCATAGAAATGAATTTTTTTCAAAAGTTATTATGATTATTTTAAATTAGACAAATTATAGAAATGAGCGTTTTAATAATTTTATTTTTGGAAAGAAGTGTAAAAAAGAGTGTAACTTCAAATGCAATATAATTCATACATATATGAATTTTTGTACAGAAGTTTCAAATATATGACCAACACAGTTCTGTTACAAACAACATTACTAAACAAGGGCAAAATGATCATTTGTCTAAAAACACCTGTCACACAACTATTTTCAAACAGCTGAAACAAACAACCAACCAGCTTCCCCGCAGCAGCTTCCTGAGGCAGCTAAGCTGCAGTTTCCCCAACCAATTAGTTCTCTTTAGATTGTAGTGAACATTATCATAGGTGATCTAAGTCTTCTTTTTTATTCCCCTAGTGTTAGCAGGTTTTTGCTTATGTTAAACCTCTAAAATGTTCTCAAAATCTATAATATTAGTCAAATTAAAGTTGAATTCAAATTTAAATACATTTTTAAAATTAAAATTCTTATTTAAACTTTCTATTAAAACCTAACCCAAAATAAATCCTTATGTGGTGTCACTCAAACAATGTCTTTGACTTCGTTGGCCATGTCAGTCAACATTAATAGGTCCTGTGAACTCTAATCACTCCACTACATCTATTGTGGATTTATTTTTTAACTTCAATTTTGATGAGGGAAAATCCATTCAAATCTTCAAACACCTATTCTAGACTTAGGATCCACTTATAGTAACCTCTAAATGGCTCATTGACCATAGTAGGTGGCTAACCCAATTTTTTCTTTCTAGTTTATATAAGCTTATAATAAACTATAG